TGAGACAAGGTCTTGCTGTGTAGTCCAGGCTGGGCTTGAACTCTCTATGTAGCCCAGATTGGCCTCGAAATCAATAGCTCTCCTTCTGCTTCAGTCTCCTGCGTGTGGGATTACTGATATTTATGCTTAGATCCTCCTGTAAACATGTGTAGCTAATGATTTAATCTTAACAACAGACATGATCATGTACTTTTCTGAGCATTTCACGTGAATGAACTCATTTAATTCCTCATATCAGACTTACAGGGTAGGTGATAGAGTCCCCATTTGCCAGCTGAGGCAGCTGAGGCTCAGAGCGGGAGTAAACTCACCCAGACAGTGCACCCAGGTGGCTGACGGCAGACCGGGCATCTGAACCCTGCCCACCTGGCCCTGCGATCTCTTTGTTACCCTGCTTTACAGTAGTGTCATTGAGAAACACTTTCTAATGAAATAATAAATGACAGGGTGAAGCTTCATTGAGAGAGACTTTCCTAAAAGTTGACACACCTTGGAAGCCTTAAGAAAGAGGCTGGCTTCTCATCCATTAAAGGCCCCAAGGTGGATTATATGGCATTCAAGCCTTCCCTCAACTCTCTTGACATGCTAAATCTCCCTTCTAAGATACAACATGTTTCAGTGGCTCCACTTGGAAATATCAGAGTGCATTTGCTTTTACAACATTCTTTTCATTTTTTTTTCTTTTTTTGGTACCGGGGATCCAATTTGGGACCTTGCGCTTGTAAGGCAGGCAGCGGTGCCACTGAGCTAAACCCCTGGCCCTGAATGTTACCATTCTTAGATCTAATTTGACGTATGCAGCAAGAAATGATGCCCCAATAAAAAAGATCATTTTTTATTATTTTGTTTCTTTAAAACTATATTTCCTTTTAAATGTCATTCTAAATTATGGTGCATTTTGAAAAAATGTTTAATTTCCAAATCAGCGGAGATTAGGTCTATCATTTAACATTTTTTAATTTTTTCTCTTTTCTTTCTTTCTTTCTTTCTTCCTTCCTTCCTTCCTTCCTTCCTTTTTTGAGACAAGATCTTGCTATGCAGTTCAGGCTGGGGTTGAACTCACTATGTAGCCCAGGCTGGCCTCAAACTCATGGTAATAGTCCTGCCTCAGCCCCTTGAGTGCTAGGATTACCGTGTGCCATCACGCTTAGCTTTAAGGTCTTTACTTAAAAGCTACCCCCTCAAAGATTGCTATTATGTGTTCCGTAAGAATGATCAGATGGGGGTGCAGCTTAGTAGCAGGGTACTTGTTTAGTAGGTAGAGGTCCTAATTTCCATCCCCAACACACACCCCCAAATTGTCAGCATCTAGTGAGCATGTGCTGCACTTTACTCATTTATTTTAATTCTTATCTTCTGGCAGTAAATCATAAGCTCCATGACAGCAGGGAGTTTGTGGGGTTTTTAAAAATTTGGGGGTATTTTTGAGGCAGGGTCTTGTTATGTAGCCCAGGCTGGCCCCAAACTCATGGCAATCCTCCTGCCTCAGTCTCCTGAGTGCTGGGACTACAGGTATGTGCCACCATACCCAGTGAGAGCAGGGAGATTTTTGTATCCTTAGTTTTCTGCTCTAGACTCAGTATTTAAAAGAATGCCTGCTCCATAAAAAATGATACGTATTTGGTGAAAAACTGAATGAAAAGATCTAGTAAAGAGATGGGCTATGTAGCTCTCAAGTAATTTAAAAATAATTACTATTCATTGAAGAATTACTTGTCTTATTTGGTAATCATACTCATCTATAAAGGTTGGTATTAATATTATTTCCATTTTCCAGATGTTGTAAGTACATAACTTGCCCAAGGTTATGAAGACATTAAATAGCAGAAATGGGTTTCAACATTTGGCTAAGTGAAAGGGTCCAGTCACAAAAGCCACATATTGTATGATTTCATTTATATGAGCTGTCCAGAACAGGCATGTCTAGCTGGGGATGGTGGCACATGATTGTAATCCTAACATTTGGGAGGCTGAGGCACGAGGATTGCCAGGAGTTGGAGGCCAGCCTATGCTACATAGTGAAAGCCAGCCTAACATAGTGAGACTCTGTCTCAAAAAACCAAAAGCCCCCTAACCCCCCAAAGCCAACCAAACAAATGAAAAAAACCAAAAAGGGTTGGGGATGTAGCTTAGTATGAAGGTCCTAGGTCACTTGGGCTGGTCACACTGATCAACAGAAGAGCAATGTTTTCTCTGTCCTCATGTCCTTAGCACATAGACACACATATACACACACGTTAGGGAAAGCACACCCTCAAAGAACCCTTTTGTTTTGTTTTTGTTTGAGACAGGTTTTTGCTATGTTTCAGGCTGGCCTCAAACTCACTATGTGGCCCAGGCTGGCTTTGGAGGTGATCCTCCTGCCTCAGCCTCCTGAGCGCTAGAATTATAGGTGTGTGCCACCATGCTCACCTGATCCACAGATAACTTTTTGGATTGGCTTTGGTTTGTTAACATTGAGGTGAAATTCTTGTAAAATGAAGTGAATGGTTTTGAGGTAAACAATTCAACAAGTGGCATTTAGTACATTCACAGTGTTGCGCCGCCACCACCTCTGTCATCTCTGAGCCACTTTCATCACCCTAAAATGAAGTCTGGTCCCCTTTGAGCACTTGCTTTTTCATCCCCCTCCTCTCACCATCTGCGTCCTGTGGACTTGCCTATTTTGGAGATTTCATGGAAATGGAATCATCCAGTATGGAACCTTTTGTGTCTCTTTTGTGGTACTGGAGATTGAACCCCCAGGCCTTCACACTGAGGTACATCTTCAATGCTTTATTTTTGTTTTGGGACAGGATCTTGCTAAGTTGCACAGGCTGGGGTTGAATTTGTGATCCTTCTGCCTCAGCCTCCCAGAGTGTTGGGGTTTGCAGGTGTGTGCTACCATGGCTGGCTGTGTCTGACTTCTTCCACTTTGCATGTTTTCAGGGTTCATCCAAGTCATAACATATGTCAACATATGTCTCAGTGCTTGGAATTGAACCCAGGGCCCTGAACATGTTAAATACATTTTCTACCACTGAGCTACACCCTCTTCCTAGTACTTTCTTTCTATGGACAGTATTCTATTGTATCAATATTTTTTAAAATGGTACTGGGAATTAAATCTAGGGCCTTTACACTGAGCTACATCCCCAGCCCATTTTTATTTTCTATTTTGAGACAGGGTCTTGTATATGTGCTGTGGAAGCAAGCTCGTTGAGACAAGGTTTTGCTAAGTCACTAAGTTGTGTAGGTTGGACTCAAACTTAAGGTTCTCCCACCTCAGCCTACCAGGATGCTGGGATTCCAGGCATGCACCACCACGCCTAGCTTCAGTACTTCATCTTTTTTATGGCTGAAAATATGCCTTTGTATGTATGGATCACAGTGCTTTATCCATTCAGTGGTGGATGGACAGTGGGGCCATTTCCACTGTTTAGCTCTTGTGATGCACCTATGTACAGTCCTGTACAAAGACTGCTTGGCTACTTGTGGGCATGCACCTAGGAGTAAGCTTGTTGGCAATCATATTAACTTTTTGAGGAACTGACAAAGTTTCCCACAACATCCCCACCAGCAATGTGTGAGGATTCCAATGTTTCACTATGAGAAGGATAGAAATTCTCACCATTATGTACTTTCTATGTGAAAAAAAATTGTGGCCATCTTGGTAGGTGTAAGGTGGTAGGTATCTCATTGTGGTTTTGCTTTGTATTTCTGTAATAACTAGTGATTTGTGTGTGTGTGTGTGTCAGGAATCGAATTCAGGGCCACACACTTGCCAGGCAGGTGCTGTACTGCTGAACTACATCCCCAGACCAATGATTAATGATTTTGAGGATCTTGTTATGTACTCGTTGGCCAGTTGTATTTGGAAAAATGCCTATTCAAATCCTTTGCCCATTCTTTATTTTTATTTATTTATTTCTTTGTTTTGGTTTTCTGAGGTAGGATCCTGCTGTGTAGTTCAGGCTGGCCTTGATTCTCCTGCCTCAGCCTCCTGTGTGCTGGGATTACACTCACCACATCTGGCAATAATGACATGCTTTTTTTTTTTTTTTTCCGGTACTGGGGATCAAACTCAGGACCTTGTGGTTCCGAGGCAAGCAGCGTCACCACGGAGCTAAATCCCTGGCCCAATAATGAAATTCTTAGAATACCTTTGTTCTTAGTAGATACACATTGAAATACTATTTAGGGTTAAGGGTAAAATACTCAAATGATTCAGCAAACTAAACCATCCACCTAGAAAGGAAACGTGGAAAAATGTTAAAAACTGGTGAATATAGGCTTATATAGCTGTTCATTTTTCGAACCATCTTTTTGTGGGGTTTATATTTTTTTAAATAAAAGGTTGAAGACATTGAAATGTTCAAAAATCCAAGTATCACTTCCTGTGTTGCTTAACATCGAACATCAGGACCTTGCGCGAACATCAGGACCTCGCGCTTACGAGGCAGGGGGCAGAACCGCTAAGCTAAATCCCCGGCCCTAACATCTTTAGAGTAAGACTAGGAATTTTGATCAGTTATATATATAGCTGTATAACCAAGAAAGGAGTTATTGGTCAGGATATCTTTCAAAACTATTGGGATTACTTAAACGGGAGAACGCTGCGGTTATGTTTCTTTGCCACTGTGAACTTGATTCTTATCTTTATGAGCCTGGTCAGCTGCAAAGAGTGGAACCAATAAGGCTTCAATTTTGATCCTGACGGAACTGCTGGATCTCTCCAGGACTCAGTTTCCTCACCGTGCAATGCAGAAAATAACGGCCTGGTCTGGTTGTGTTAGTGTCATCACATGGTGTTCACAAAACTGGGCTTCAATTCATGAGCAAAAGCTTCATTCTAACCTCAATGCCATCTCTATCTCTTTCTTCATTAAACTTGAGCGATCCTGCGGGGGTGGCAGGCGGGAGCGAGAAGAGGACTTCTCCGAGGTCACACAGTTGATCAAGGAGCCAGGCTTCCCAGCTTTTGGTCCTGTGCCCTTTCCACGCCCGCCAGACAGGAGGGAGAGGCGCTCCTGGGGATGCAAGGATGTAGAAGCACCAAAGGAGAGAAGAGGCCGCGCGAGGAGAGGTGGTGCGAGGCCCGCGGCGGCGCCGGCCCAACCGGGGCGCATGGAGAGGAGGGCGGCGCGGCCGGCCGGGGTGCGAAGGGCGCGGCCGCGGCTGGCGAGGGAGGGTCGCGCGGTCCGGGGCCGGGGCCTGGCCGGAGCGGCGGGCGATCTGGGCCGCCTGGGGGGCGCGGGCGGCAGAGGAGGCGGGGGCGGCGGGCGCGGGCCGAGCGGGCCCCCTCCGCATAGGTGTTGGGGAGCGGGTGCGGGTCGCGCGGCAAGGGCGCGGCGCCGGGTGGCGACCCCCGCCCGGGCCGCGGCAGGGGCGGGGCCGGCGGCGGGGGCGGGGCCGGCGGCGGGGGCGGGTCCTGGGTCCCCCGGAGGAGCGGCGGCGGCGCAGGCGCGGTTCCCGCCTCCTCCCGGCCGGTGGAGCGAGTGGAGGCTGCAACTGGGTTCGGCTGGGCTCCTGCGTCGCCGCCGCCGCCGCCGCGCGAAGCTCCCTGCCTCGCTCCGGCCGCGCCGAGATGAGTTCCCGGAAAGGTGAGTGGCCGCGTGGCGCGCCCTCGGCCCCGCCACGCGGCCTCTCAGGCCGGCGGCCTGACCGTTAATGTGTGCCTTCTGTCTCCTCAGTGCTGGCCATTCAGGCCCGAAAGCGGAGGCCGAAAAGAGAGAAACATCCGAAAAAGTGAGTCCGCGTCGCGCTCGGCCCCGGCCCAGCCCCACCCCGCCGGGGGCAGCCGGGGCCGCGCGGGGAAAGTTGCCGGGTCCCCCGGGACGCGGCGCGGGCTCTGCGCGCCCCGCGGCGGGCGGGAGGGGGAGGGGCGGGGGGAAGGGCGCGGACGCGGCGGGACCCCGGCCCAGAGGCCCGGGCGGCGGGGAGCGGGCGTGCGGGCCCCTCAGCTCCCCTCGCGGGGGTGTGCGCTGGGCCGGCCGGGGGCGCGGCTGCCGGCCCTTACCTGGGCACCGCGGCCCGGAGGAAGCGGAGCCAGGCGGGCGAGGGACTGGGCACTCGCCTCCCCTGCCTCCCGCTCCCGCCCCTCGGCCTTTCTGCCGAAAACCGGAGCTGATTGTCAAGCGGTTCGTTTCGGGCGTGTTCTTGGCGCGAGTTCAGCTCTGAGACCCGTGCGTGTCTGCGCCCGGGTTTTTATTCGAAACTTTGTGCTCCGCTAGAGCGGCGTCGGGCGCGGGGCGTCGGCGCCGGGGGGCGCGGGCGGGGGCGATCGGGACCGCGACTGGTGACATTCCACGCGGGCCAGCGCCGGCCACCTCCAGCCGGCTGCGCCTCCAAGAAGCCTTTCCTGGAGAGCTGCGTGGACCGCAGGGCGCCGTCGGCTCGTCCCCTTTCCGCCTCTGTTTCTCCTCTGCCAGCTTGAGCACTGGCACCCCTTCCCAGAAATCTCTGGTGTCATTGGTGCTATGGGGAGTGACAGCCGGGATGGTCTTCAATAAAATCGTGAAGCATTCTTGCCTGTCTGATTCCTTCCTTCTGCGCTCTTTTTCTTCGTGTTCGCCTAGGTTGCTGCCTAGCGAATTTCCTACTCATTGGTGGTATCTAGGAAAACTGGCAAAGTCATTTCTAATATATCTCGCGACAGGATTTTCTCCATTGAAAACTGAACATAACTTGAAAGTAGTTTTAGGATTTCATAAAATGTGAATATCGACTTGAAAATACCTTTCTTGAGAAAAAAGACTTTTGAATGAGAAGGAAAGGACTTAGGACTTGAAGGACTAGAGTGTAAATTGGATATTGGAGTCTCAAGACGCCAAAATAGGATGAATTCTGGGTAGTTAACGATGCTTTTTTTTTTTTTTGGTACTGGGAATCGAACTCGGGTCCTTGCACTTTCGATGCAGGCGGCAGAACCACTGAGCTAAATCCCCAGCCCCTAACGATGCTTTTAAAAAAATTAGTGCTAGCTTTTAAGTCAGAACCTTGAATTTGGGATTTCCTTTGGTGAACCACTAAAGTTTAGCCCACAAGTAAGAAGATATTTTAGATTCTGAGTGAGTGTTGGGGCTTAATCCTAGCTTTAATTCAAAGCATTGATTTAGTTCCACATAGCCTATTATGTTCAGAAACAAAAAGGAGTTGAAAAGCATGACCCCACTTGTTTTTCATTAATTTCTTTGAGGTACTAGGGATTAAATCCAGGGCCTTGTTCATGAGTTCTACAGCTGGGCTACACCTCCAGACCTTTTTGGTTTTAACTTTTTTTTTCTTTTTTTTTTGGTGACAGGGTCTTGCTATGCAGTCCAGGCTGGTCTTGAAATTACTGTGTAGCCCCGGCTGGCCTCAAATTGACAGGGATCCACCTGCCTAAGCCTCTTGAGTGTTGGGTTTACAGGTGCATATTGCCACGCCCAGCTTCAGCCCTTTTTATTTGGTTTGAGATAAAATCTTGTTAAATTGCCAAGGCAGACCTCTAGTTTGCAATCTGCCTGTCTTAGTTTTGGAAGTAGATGGGATTTCAGATGGGGTAAGCATGAAGATGTTTCTGTTTGCATGTGTGCTTGTGTGTGCACGCATGTAAATACCTGCATATTGCATATACATACATGTGAGAAAGTTTTTTATTTAAATTTTATCTTATTGGTACATTTTAGATATACATAATTACATTAATCATAACTAATTTGCACCTGTACATGATAAATCTTTTTTTATTATTTTGTTTTTGTTTTTGTATGGGGGATCGAACTCTGGACTTTGTGCTTTCGAGGCAGATGGTGGAACCACTGAGCTAAGTCCTGGCTCTGTCCATGATAAATCTTGATGCTGCTTTTTTTCCTTTTTCCCCTCACGTCCATCAACCCCCTCCCCTATTTATTTTTTTATTTTTTTGGTACCAGGTATCAAACTCAGGACTCCGTGCTTGCCAGGCAGGCACAAAGAGCTACATCCTCGGCCCTTCCCCTCCTTATTTACAAGGGGTTTGTTTCCATTTTTTTTCTTTTTTTCTTGTCTCTTCTTTCCTTTCTCCCTCTCCACGACTTTGTTCTCCTCCCCATTTGAACAGTTTCTTCCCATTTCCCAATACCTATTAACATTTTGGTCCTTATTTACACTTTCAGTTTCTCACATTGGAGAAACAATGCGTTTAAACACATGTGTCCTGTTTATTTCACTTAAAGAGTATGGTCTCAAGGCGCATCCATTTAGGTAGAAATGTCTCAAGTTTATCCTTATGGCAGAGTAGTACTCTATTGTATATGTATAAAAACTTATTTATCCATTCATAGGTTAATGGGCATTTGGGTTGTGAAAAACAGTTTCAATTAAGTTAGTGTATTTCACAGTTTCATATTTCAGTGTGTGACTTTCCTAGTGACCAAGAGCCTCTTTTTGCTGTGGTATAGTTGGGATTTATGTGGTTGGTTTGTAGAGAATTAGCAGATACCTGCATTATTCTGCATTTGCTCTCCCATCTTTATCTGCCCGTCTCTTCCAGTCTTGCTTGTGTATGTGGTAACATTGTGAGGAAAGAGTGGCTAGTAATGAGATGAATTGCCTTGTATGCAGGGTAGTTAGCAAGAAGAGAGCAGCCTAACTATAGAATGGATTGAGGCAGTGCCATTTTTTACTTCTTTGAATTAAGAGTTATTTTTGAAGGCCAGGCGTGGTGGTGCAAGCCTGTGATCCCAGCACTTGGGAGGCTGAGGCAGGAGATCACCATGAGTTCGAGGCCAGCCTGGGCTCCATAGTGAGTCCTGAACTGCATAGTGAGATCCTGTCTCAAAAAAAAGAGTTATTTTTGAGACTGGGCATGGTAGTGGCACATGCATATAATCCCAGCACTTGGGAGGCTGAGGCAGGAGGATCACTGCAAATTCAAGGCCAGCCTGGGCTACATAGTTGAGTGCAAGTTCAGCCTCAGCTGCATAATGAGACTCTGTCTCAAAACAAAAAAGTTATTATTTGAAATAATTGCCTGATACAATTTTTCAAGTTCTTGCATAGCTGCCTTAGGAGGTGAGGTGAGAGCTTTAAACAAGGCAGACCAAGCTCCTCATGAAGCCTGTGTTCTATGGAGGTTTGGGGAAAACCACGAAGTAGATGACAAGATAATTTGAGATAGTGCTAAGGGATAGGAAGGAAATGAACACAGGGCTCCTTAAGTAGTACTGAGGATAGATGACATTTGACCTGATTGTTTATGTCCATTCATAGCTAGTGATGACCCTGTGAGCTAGGTGCTGTTACTATCACCATTTTACAGGTGCAGAAACAGGGACATAGTATGAGTAATGAGCAGCTTGGGACCAGAGTCCACACTGCACTCTTAAGAGGTGACATTTGAACAGGGGCTCGAGTGAGGATACTGAAAGGCGGGGGGAGGAGTGGGCTGGTTCTGACTGAGGGACCCAGAGGTTAGGTGCCTGGAGCCATCCAGGGCTGAGTGAGAGTAGCAGGACTTGGCTTGGAAGACTGTGTAGGCTGTGCTTAGACTTATGCCTGGGGAGGAGCTCTGACTCCTTTTTTAATTTTTTTGTTGTTGTTTGAGAGATGACCTTGCTGTGTAGGTCATACTGGCCTTGAACTCACTGTGTAGCCCAGGCTGGCCTCAAACTCATGGTGATCCTCCCGCCTCAGCCTCCTAAGTGCTGGGATTATTGTCAAGGACCATCTGCCTGCTAGCTGGTTTGTTTTTTTTTTTGATTCGTGTTTTAAAGAGCACTGGCTGGTATGTGAATAGATTGTGAGAATAGGGATAGGGAGTGGAAACTGGAAGGTAGCTTGTAATAGGACCTGGGAGCTTGGCATGGTGAAACATCTCTAATCCCAGTCCTCTGGGAGGCTCAGACAGGAGGATGTCAAGTTGGAGCCTCACCTGAGTAATTTAGTGAGCCTCTATCTTAAATATAAAATCAGGCTGGGGATGTAGATCAGTGTGAAGATCTTAGGTTCAATCACCAGTAACCCCTTTCCCCCAAAAAAGGGATATAGGAAATGAGACTAATGGTTCTGGGTGCAGGGGGTGACACTGGAGAGAATGGACTTGAGGTTGGTGCTTGTGAGGTGCTCCTTATTTTACACAGCCCTGACAGATGTTAAGGTTAGGGTCACGGAGCTTAGACTGGGCCAGAATTTAGGTCTCCTAGTGTTTTGCACTTTTCTTTTTGATGCATATGTAATACTGGAGATTTGAACCTATGGTCTTGTGCATGCTATGTGCTAGCAGGTGCATTCCCCAGCCTGATTTCTTGTCCTTCCTGCAGTTTTGGGAATTGAACCCAGGGCCTTCACGCTGAGCTACATCTTGTACCTAGCTCTTTTTTATTATTTTGAGACAGTGCCTTGCTAAATTGACCAAACTGGGCTTGAATTTTCAAACCTCTTTCCTCAGCCTCCCAGAGTGATAAGATTACAAGGCTTTTTTTAAAAAAAAAAATTGATTGATTGATTGAGCCAAGGTCTAGCTATGTAGTGCAGGCTGGCCTCGACCTGGCAGCAATCCTCCTGCCTCAGCCTCTTGAGCACTGGGGTTACAGGTGTGTGCCACCACACCTAGCTTCTTTTTTTTTTTTTTGGTGCCGGGAATCGAACTTGGGTCCTTGCACATGCACGGCAGGCAGAGAAACCACTGAGCTAAATCCTCGGCACAAGCTTCTTTTTTATTTTTGAAACATGATCTTGCTAAGTTGCCTCAGCTGGCTTTGAACTTGCTGATTGTACTGCCTCAG